ATAACCAGGTTATTTCTGGTTATGCTCCCTCCCTAATGTAACACTCAAAATTGGTCCCAGGCTTCAATCCCTGCCCATCCCTCCAGTCACCATCCCTGGGCTCACACCATTAGGTACTGCTTCCTCCTCCTGGTCCAGGATGCTGAACTACTTTTGCTAGACCCTCTCCTGTTTCTATATCACAGGCTGTTAACAGATTTCTCCACCCTGTGCTTCAGACTGAGCCTCAGCCCTCAGATGGCCCATTGCAGGGTTTTCAATACATGCTGAAACACTTGACCACAAGCGTGTATTTAATCATTTTTTCATTTCATCCATGTATTAAATGCCCACATCATTTCAACTTCTCTATTCCTGTGTGCTGGGATTTTGACCAAATATTTCTATACCATTTGTATAGTCTGCTTGATTGACCTTCCTGGGGCATCTGCTGTCAACCCCAACATATTGACCTGTTTCTGATATCCCTGCTCATCTCAGTGGGTGGATCCACATGATGGCCATGACTCTTTTCACCTTCTTTGTTTCAAAAGTGTAAAAATGGTTATGTCCCATCAAATAGTTCTTTCTTCTGTAGTTGGCAGACAAATATCACAGCTGGTTTGACCTCTGGTCTGGATCTTAGTTTTGTTACTTTCTAGTTGTGGGACCTATTACCTTGCAGCTGTTTCTTAAATCCTCTAAACTTTATTTTCCTTGTTTGTAAAATGGAGATAATAAGAGCTACCTCATGTTTTCTTGTGCATGCATTAAAAGAGATTAAAGCATTTGGCAAAGTGTCTTGCAAGTAGTAAATGCTTTATTCATGGGAGCTATTTTTTTATTTTTTCAGTTCAGCTGAAGTGATACCTCACTACAATTACAAAGAACAATGATGTGTGTTAAGTATAATAATAGAAATATGTAAAGTGTGTTTTGGGAACAAAAGTTCCTGGTAAAGACATGCTTAATTCTCTCTGGAGATAGAGTGGTGGAAGGTTAAACTCTAGAGGAGAGGTTAACAGCTGAGCTAGGCTTTGAAGGATACATAGTAGTTTGTCAGAAAGACAAGTGAGGGTAGAAATCACATGAGCAATGGAGCCTATTCAGTTAGACCAGAATTTCCAACTTTCACTATTGACATTTTGGATATGAAAATGATTGTTTTAGGTGCCTGTGCACTGTGGAATGTTTAGTGACAGCTCCAGCCTCTTACTCTACCCAGTAGCATCCTGTCCACATCACAGTGGTGACATTGCCAAGTGTTCTCTAAAGCCTTATCCTTTATTCTCATTTGAGAATTCTGAGTCAGGCTAATAGGAGATTGGAAAACATTGGGAAAGCTTCTTCGTTTTTGCTGCTGGTCTTGTCAGCTTCCACTTTCAAGAAAATGGGACCTCAGTTGGGTTTCCAAGCTCTGTTAAGCGACCGTATTTCTCATCAGCTATCCAAATGGTTATGTACTTATCCTGCTAGTATATATTTGAACCAATGATTACTGAGTATCTAGTATGTGTTGGATGCTATGTTAAGCACCAAGGACACAGAATCCTTCCTCAGCCATGGTTTGTGGTTGGGGCACAGATCCAGACATTTACTCACTTTTAAAATTCTTTTATACTCCAGTCATTCCTACAGAATTTTGTTTCAATTTGTGTATAATTTACCACCATAAATCATTCTTTAACTTGTTATTGCTAATCACTAACTCATTATAAGATTATAATTGTGGGTATAATTATCAAACATAAAATATTAATTGCACATGCCTCCATGGATTTAATAATGACTATTAACTTTATGCCTCCTCACACTGGCTGCTGTAGGCTCTGTGCCTTCCCCTTCAGACTCTTCAGGACCCTTCTGATCGGTGAGTTTAAGACATGGTGTATAAACTGCAGTCCCAGCAGCATGCATTAAATCTTTTTTTTTTTTTTTTTTTTTTTGAGATGGAGTCTCACTCAGTTGCCCAGGCTGGAGCACAGTGGCACGATCTTGTCTCACTGCAACCTCCACCTTTTGGGTTCAAGTGATTCTTCTGGCTCAGCTTCCTGAGTAGCTGGGACTACACACTCATGACTAAACCCGGCTGATTTTTTATTTTTATTTATTTATTTATTTATTTTTATTGAGACGGAGTTTCGCTCTTGTTACCCAGGCTGGAGTGCAATGGTGCGATCTCGGCTCACTGCAACCTCTGCCTCCTGGGTTCAGGCAATTCTCCTGCCTCAGCCTCCCGAGTAGCTGGGATTACAGGCACGTGCCACCATGCCCAGCTAATTTTTTGTATTGTTAGTAGAGACGGGGTTTCACCATGTTGACCAGAATGGTCTCGATCTCTTGACCTTGTGATCCACCCACCTTGGCCTCCCAAAGTGCTGGAATTACAGGCGTGAGTCACCACACCAGGGCTCATGTATCAAATCTTCATTAATCTATATCCCTTCTATTTCTTTTGCTTAACTCCCACATCTTTTTTTTTTTTTGAGATGGAGTTTCACTCTTGTTACCCAGGCTGGAGTGCAATGGCACGATCTCGGCTCACTGCAACCTCTGCCTCCTGGGTTCAGGCAATTCTCCTGCCTCAGCCTCCTGAGTAGCTGGGATTACAGGCACACGCCACCATACCCAAATTGCACCTATAGGTTGATCTGTTTTCTTTAGTTGATACCTGACTCTTTACAGCATTAATAGTCACAATTCCCCCTTCAATTCCTCCTGCATTGGATTATTGTTATTTGTAGCAACAACAACAGCAAAATATAAAAGTGCCCCTGTTTACACATTGGAGTGGCATGAGTCATGACAAGGTGACATCTGAAATGTGGGCCTGGGTACAATTTGTACAAGTGCATTCAACCATAATGATTGTAAATGGCTTGAGGACAACTCCATTCTCTAAATAATATCCATTGAGAATTATTGAATTACCACCCACTCTGAACATTAGCTACTTTACAAAAGGAAACACTTAATCTTCTACAATTGCAATGCAGAGAAGCCTAGATAGAGCAAGAAGGTTGTACGCATGTGTGTATGCGAGTGAGTATGTTTTGATCAGTGATCTGTTTGATTTCTATAGAGGGATGAATATGTAAATGTTTGTCTCATATCAGGTTAGTGATGGGACCTGTGGTTCTAAGGATAATGACGTTATATGAAAGGACATCCCAGATGCATCACTTTAGGGAATCTCTGTTGCCCATTAAGCCATGTTGTCTGAGTTCACAAAACTCATGTTTGTGTAAAATAATAGTTTTTACATTACCACATCTTGCTTTCGGTTCTTTTCTGCAATTTAGTAATTTGCTGCATTCTAGTTGGCAAAATGCGATTTATTTACGATGGTTCCTTTTACTTTCTTTGCAGTTTAGTTTTACCATTTTTCCATCTTGAAAATTGATATGAAACATAAAAATGTTTAGAGTTGTCTGACAACTCCCTAGGAAATGTTTAACAACCATTAATTTAGGAACAATTTTGCTTCTATAATTCATTTCTCAATTGGTTGTGATGGAAGTAATTGTCATATCCAAAGGGAGAATCATGACTTCAGGCAACAAATAAACATCTAAACTCTTGAGAAACAGTATTGTTTTAGTAGTAAATGCCCTCAGTTATAAAGAAAAATGGAATAAAATCAGGGAAGCATAATACCATGACAGAACTCTTTCTCAATAACAATCAAAGTTATCAGACCTGTGTATCATACACGTTAATAAAAGAAAAAGACTGATTTTGTGCTCGAAGTCTTTATTGCTCAAATGTTTGATTAGGTGAGTCCATACCTATGTATTATCCACACATTCATTGTACATGCAACAAAACCATTTTTACTACCAAATATCTAGTATTTCAGTGCCAAAAAATAAGTTACCTAATCTCTCTGAATTTTACTTTGTTATTTTCAGAATAAGGATAAATTTATCCACCTAGGAGAATTTTTGAGAGATCTAGAAAATAACACACAAATCAGGATATTCTTTATGGCTGCTAAATAAATGATAAGCGTTTATGCCTATTTGTAGATATTGTTGGCATATATTTATGATGCAAATCATCAGAAGAATAATTCTCCTTTGTTTTTGAATCACTTTGAAACCTATTGGATTACAAAAGGTAGCTTTATAGTTAATAATACTGCAATATCTTTTTTCACCTTGTAATATATCATAAAATATATCTGTATATATTTACAATGATACTAAAAATCTGACTGTTATACAAATTTAAATTAAAAAGTTGTTTTATTTATGTAATGCTCAAGTCATAAAATAATATACTTGTATATTCAAGTAATTAGTAAATTATTTCAAAAGTGTGAACCTTTTCTGGTCTACACACCTGGTTTCTAGTTGTTTGTGCTGTTATTACTTTTCTATTTAGAAAAATCTCACCAAGCATACATTCAACATCTACAATGAACAAGGCAATGTGAGAGCTGAAAAGATGAATGTCATATATTTGCATATGTAATATAGAAATTAATTGCTATTTGATTTCTCTTTAAAAAGTGAGTCTTCTCCACATTACTTTGCAGGAAAAATTCATTCAAAAGTCTGAGATTTAGCTGAGCATATGACCCACAGCTGGAAACTGTATATTTTCTAGCCTTCTTTGCTGAACACTTTCCTGAATTCAGGCCAATGGCATGTGAAAAGTGATATGTGCAACTTCTTAAATATGAACTGCTTTCTCTAGAATTCCTTGTTCACGTTCTCAAGCACAAGTCAGAGACCCTGGCTTTTGAGCTAGAAGCAGAAACAGGATGAGTCTGCAGTGCTTAAGTTTAGAGAACGAGGGTTGAGGGTGTTCTGTGTTTAGAGATATACATAGAAATCTGGGTGGCTGAAAAGTATTCTTCATGGCAGATACTTCCAGGAATGATGATATGGAGACTTCCCAGCTTCCCCTGCAGCCATATATGATTGTGTCTCAAAGTGTAGCGCAACAATATCCAAGGTGATGAGTTTAACTTTGGGATCATCTCCCTGGTGATGAGTTTCCTCTTCCCTTCCCAGTGGACCTGGAATACAGTCATGATCCTGAATTGCTCTCAACCACGTAGCTGAGGATGGCATCCCAGGAGATGGCAGAACAACAGGTTAGAAAGCACTTGGATTCTTAAATGATCTCATGAGGACAGTTGTCCCATTCATCCTAGGTGGCTCACTCTATTTTTGGGTATCTTTGTTACATTACTTAATCTATTCAATAGCTAACATGAGTCTTTCATGTGTGTATAATGTTTCCCTGTTTCAAAATACTTTTAACCATATTTCCTTATTTAACTGATTTTTTTGAGTACCTAATAGAGGGGTCAGTCCTTATCGTAGACTCAGAGAATACAGATATGTATCAGATACTTATCAATGATAGCAGGTAACTGAGGAGGGGACAAGGATATTTTCAGGATTAACGAAATTTGGGAAGACAGGCAACGTGGGACTTGAAGCACATGTGCTGGAGTTTGCTTGATACAGAATGATATCTACCTCATTTCCTTAGATTCAGCGGTTCTCAACCTGTGGTCTCCCAACCAACAGCATCAGTATCATCTGGGAACAGGTTAGAAATGTGTATTCTCAGCCAATCTAATCCAGATCTAGTAAATAAGAGACTCTGGGGCCAACAGTCTGTGTTTTAACAAGCCCTCCAGGTGATTCTGGTGCATGCTTCATGCTAAAGCTTGAAAATCACTGCTTTAACCCTCATCGCATCTCTGGAAGCCAGTCAAGGAAGTCTATAAGGTACCCGTTTTATGTAGGCAAGAACTGAAGTTTAGAGGGGCTGGGCAGTTTGCTTGTAGTGCCACAGGTAGTTAATGGACACCTGTGTCTTGGTGAAAGTTCATGTTCTGATCTAAATCCAAGGGACTGGATCAACTTTCTCAATTCACTATCTAGAAGATTGGATTGGTTTCATATACAATATCTCTACACAGTGGCAGCAAGGAAGTGAATTTTAGACTATAGGTGGAAGGTACAATTGTTGTTTCCTTCAGGTAGAGAAAAAAAAAGGAGTTTGCTGGAATTATCTCCCTTTGGGAATCAAGTGCTCTTTTCTCAATTGATTAGGTGTGCTTCACATTGACCCCATACTGAGCAAAAGTGGACCCAGGGGCCTGTCTACAAAAATCTATTTTCCAGTGTTAAGATGGTCTTGTCAGTATAAAATGCCGAAGAGGCCCTTTCTGTGCAGGTTTATTTGGCCACAGTGATCTAGCTGTTGCCCTTTATGTATTCCTAATTGGTGGTTGTCCAGGTGGCATCAGTTCAGAAGCGTCATACTGGAACATTACTATGACTGTTCAGAAGGTTCCCGAAGCAGAGGTTAGAGACAAATTTCCTCATTGTTTTCTTGCTGAGATAGGCGTAACAGGCAAATCCTACAAGCTAAACTTATTTTTTTTGAGATGGAGTCTCACTCTGTTGCCTAGGCTGGAGTTCAGTGGAGCAATCTCAGCTCACTGCAACAACCTCTGCCTCTCAGGTTCAAGTGATTCTTCTGCCTTAGCCTCTCAAGTAGCTGGGACTACAGGCACACACCACCACATCCAGTTAATGTTTGTACTTTTGGTAGAGACAGGGTTTCTCCATGTTGGTCAGGCTGGTCTCGAACTCCTGACCTTGTGATCTACCCGCCTTGGCATCCTAAATGATGGGATTACAGGCGTTAGCCACCGTGCCCCGCCCCCCAAGCTAAACTTTTATCACAGACAAGGTTATCCTGCATAAATAAATATGTGTGTATATATTATATACACACATATACATATATATGACAAGCAACATTTCTCATATTTTTAAACTGAATGAAAATGTCAAGGTTGTCCTATCATTGTACAACTTATGTTGAATTAACGTTAATCATTTTTTTCATTTCTAATATTTGTTTTTCTTTTAAAAAGCAGATCGGGCAGACCATAATTTCCTCACTCAAAATGATGACTCCAATTTTCAACCATTGTGCTTCTTTATAACATCACTTCTGTGGGTTTGTGTAGTTATAAAGCAATGATGCTATGCTGCTACCTGTGTTGTCAGAGGTAAAACCGATCTATAATTTAGATCTGTTAACATAACTTGTTAAGAGGGGTATTGTGGAAATAGATTTTTCTATATACAGAGAGACACAGGGGCATATGCAAATCCTATTATGCAGAAGCTAGTGCTTCTGCAAGACTTCTGAGGAAAACAACAACAACAAAAAACCTGCCAGAAGGACAAGGCCAGGAAAAGAAACACCAAAGTATTAGCTGAGATTTTGAATCCAAATTGCAATGTGAATAGTGATTATTCTGGATTGCAAGGTGGATGCTTTAATCCAGGCTAGAGACATACTCATGTTCTCCAAACATGTAAGCGTTGCCCCTTTCACCCTTAGTGCACCCAGGAATCTCATCCCTCCATGGGAGAACAAGCTGATTGATGAGAGGTACAAGTAAGAATCACTGGTATCAAAATTTAGAGTTCTGCTAATCTTGGTAGGATGCTTTCAAGAGGAATTTTCTTCCAAGTGCAGCTTCAAAGAAAACTTGCCAAGAAGAGAGAGCACACTCAGACAGGCTCATTGTAGAGAAAGCGCTACACTCAGGCACAGGCAGCCAATGACTTGTTCTTTCTCTTGACCCCGACCGCTTCTTGGTAGAGGATTGAGGACTGGGTGATGGTGAAAACTCCACCTATGCTTTCTCAATATCAAAGTAGCTGTTCTGTTTGGAAAACTCTATGGAAGAGGCATCACATCAATTATTGGTGTCTTGCAAATGAGTGTCCTGATCAATAGAATTTTTTACTTTTCCACTTTTCTTAGGACCCAGAAGATACTCATTTATTTATTCAACAAATCTTTGTATTTGAGCCCTGTATACCAGAATAGGATTTGTGGTTGCAAAGATCACCAAGAAACAGTTCTTGACACTGAAAAGCTCCTTTGCCCTTCAAAATACACAGTATTAGAGGAAAAAAAATCAACCAAATAACTTGATCAAAATGGGAGGAGAAAGAGAGAATACCTCATTTGCCATGGCTCTAGGATGGATGTTCTCATTTCCGTGGAAAGCAAACACTTTAGGACTTCAAGCTTCCTGCTCTGAAAGAGTGCATCGAATAAACTCTGTCAGCTCCTGTGTTTCCAAGATACCTGATGCTTTTTGCCTTTGTTCTTTGTTTATCAGAGCTGACCTTTTCTTAATGATATTTTACTGTAACTGAGGTTCATGTGGCATCAAATAGTACAATTTAGAAAAAATAAATCCCGCGGGACTTTCTTGGTAATTTTTCAGTGGTTTATTAGAATTTTAAATACTTCAGAAAATGGACTTTAGAAAACCCACTTGAAAGAGAAAAAATATTGACCTTTATAATAAATTGATACCATTATAAAAATATACCCTAGAGAACACTGGAAATGGTCCATTTAGAGTCGGACACTAGCAAAATAAGCTCTTTAATGTATCTCATAAATATATTTTAGAGGCCTTTCAAATGGTGAGAGAGGAGTACAGGACAGTTTTTCATCCATAATCATTATTTTTTCTCACCACAGCTACCCATCCAATATAATTTAGACATGACATTTAGATAGAAGTGGGAAAGTTTCTATTTCCCATTTCTAAACACAGGGGTATGGACAGTATCAATTAGATTCTATTTATTGTAATAATGTTGATTCTAGTAGAGGTTACACAGATGTAAGAATTGTGCGATGCTCTGTTTCTGGAAGAGTAGTCAAACGATGCATGGAAAATGATGGCCATTGCAATTGCAGTTTTAACACAAAAATAATATATTGTCTTTTTGAATATATGATAAAGTTCATGGTTTGAGATTAAACAGTTCACTGTGAGCATATAGGTGTGGAAGAAGAACCAGGATCCCTAACAATGTTCTCTGCCTCTGCACAAAATGTCTGGAAGAATTGTTTCTGTGATTCCTCTCTGTTTTAATCCCTCTGAATTCCTTGGTTTTGGCTTCATGAGTGTGTACTGGCTGAGGGGAGTCAAGTTCATACTCTGAGTATGGATCGCCCCCAAAATAGGGAAGATTCAAAGGATCAGCACACAAGTAAGAATGGGGTATTAAGCAAAGAAAAAAGAGCCAGGGAAATAAGTGGGTTTATTATAAGGCTGACAAGATCTCGAGTCAAATGTAGGTGAAAAGATAAGATTTTAGTCTGTTCTCATGCTGCTAATAAAAACATACATGAGACTGGGTAATTTATAAAGAAAAGAGGTTTAATTGACTCAGAGTTCCACATGGTTGGAAAGGCCTCACCATCATGGTGGAAGGCGAATGAGGAGCAAAGTCACATCTTACATGGAGGCAGGCAAGTGAGCTTGTGCAGAGGAACTCCCATTTAGAAAACCATCAGATCTCATGAGACTTATTCACTACCATGAGAACAGTATTGGGAAAACTGTTCCCATGGTTCAGTTTTCTCCACCTGGCCCCACCCTGGACATGTGGGGGTGATTACAATTCAAGGTGAGATTTGAGTGAGGACACAGCCAAACTCTATCAGATAGGAAGCTGTAAAAAAGTAATCCCCAGATCATAACAACTCATCACAATGAAGGATTATGTTTTACTCACTTCACCAGTTGTGGTTGGTGGGAGGTCAGGCATCACAGAGGCACTCTTCATTCAGACATAAGGAAGCAAGAGCATCTCATTGTCTACCCCTTATAGTCACCATGGCAGGGGTGAAGAGAGCTGGAGAGCCAGTCATCTGCTCTTAAATACTTGGCTCAGGTGGAACACAAGTCTTTTCCATCATTGTCCATTGAGCAGAATTAGTTAAATGGCCCCATTTGCAAGGGTAGGAAATATGCATGGAAGTTTATGGGCATGGATTCCTTCTCTACAAAAACAAGTGAGCAGCACATGTTTCTGCCAGGCTGTTTGAATGATGATCTCCCATCTGAGAGGTTCTATGGCTGAGCCACCAAGCTCAGAAGGGATGTGGAGGGCTTATCATGCTGGCAAGTTACAAAGCTGTTGCTTTAGACTTGGGTTAGCCTGTGCTTGTATTCATGGAATTGATGCTTTTGACTGTTCTCTTGGTTCCCAATTCTTGCTTTACCTGGGAAGCTGCTGTCTTCTCTTAACATCACTACTGTGGGTCAGATTGGTAGGAGGCCACACACCATCAAGCATCTGTTCCTAATTTATTTTGCTGATGATACTGACAGCAGCAGGAGCAGAGGCAGTCAGTATATTTGTATGTGGCATTTCTTTATCATGGTCTCCCATAACAAAGGTATATTGCTGCCTATGACATGTTCAGTGTAGAATGAATACAACAGAGTTCAAAAAGAAGCCATTTTCTTCTATACCTGCACTTCAGTAGTCAGGCCTATATTTCTATTCCAGAAAAATGTATACTAACAATTGCCCATATTATTTTAAAGGAGAGTTTACCATAAGCTGGTTCCACTGGTTCAGCATCTGCATAGTCACATCCTTGCTGTGGGGAGAAAACCGATTCCATGCCAGGGGACCTTGAATGGTATCTCTGCCTTCAGCTCTGGTACTCCAGAAGGCCCAGTAGGTCCCCATTCTTAGGCTGAACCAGGATTTGAGCTCCTGTTTACATTGGTTGGGCAAACGTCCATCTACAGGTAAATGAAAGGGCACAGTCAGGTTCAATGATGATAGGGAGTGACTCTGGAATACATGGTATCCATTACTTCAGCATATTCTGACCAGACCTGTGCTGGACTCATTCACAGATTGCAGGGACAGAGCAACAATGGATGACCAAGAAAATACTAAAAGGGTTGGGCTGCTGAGAATGTCATCAGCAGCATCCATGCAAGAACATTGCACAACAACAGAAGACAGTGCCAGCAGCTTTTGTTAGGGCAAGAGACAACAAATTTAGCGTAGATAACAGGACTCAGAACATCAGGCACAGTTGCCCTCTGCATAAATGTCAGTCTCCTTGACATGGGCCACTGGCAGCCTGATTGGGACCTTGGCAGATACTGGCATCCTCAGCAGTGCTTGGCAGGTATAGAGGGTTGTGCTTTTGGAGGGCACCAGAAGTAGATTTCCTGCTTTTGTTCTGGGCAGAGATAGGAAACTGGATCCATAGACAGCAGAGACGGGAGAAATAAAATGGCCTATACCAGCTGGGTGTGGTTGCTCATGTCTGTAATCCCAGCACTTTGGGAATGCCAAGGCAGGTGGATCACCTGAGGTCTGGAGTTCAAGACCAGCCTGACCAACATGGAGAAACCCCATCTCTACTAAAAATACAAAATTAGCTGGGAGTGGGAGACAGAGGTTGCAGTGAGCCAAGATTGTGCCACGGCACTCCAGCCTGGGTAACCAGCAAAACTCTGTCTCAAAAAAAAAAAAAAAAAGAAAAGGCCGGCTGGGCGTGGTGGCTCAAGCCTGTAATCCCAGCACTTTGGGAGGTTGAGGCAGGTGGATCACAAAGTCAACAGATCGAGACCATCCTGGTCAAAATGGTGAAACCCCGTCTCTACTAAAGATACAAAAAGTTAGCTGGGCATGGTGGTGCATGCCTGTAATCCCAGCTACTCAGGAGGCTAAGGCAGAAGAATATCCTGAACTCAGGAGGCAGAGGTTGTGGTGAGCCAAAATCGCTCCATTGCACTCCAGTCTGGGTAACAAGAGCGAAACTCCATCTCAAAAAAAAAAAAAGGCCTATGCACTATATAATGTGTCAAGCAAGAGGGCTGAGTCACGGAGCACACCAGAGACTGCTCTTATGATTTCCAGAAACATCTTGGAGAAATCCAAGGAGGATTGGAGTTTCTGCAGAGGGGCTGCAGATATACAAAAATACTTGTTGGCCAATGAATAAGACCCAGGACTCCACTGAGATACAGGCATCCAGGTGGTTCTTTTTCAAACTTTTGTTCTTTAAATATTTTGTTCAGTACTAGTTGAACTAAATTCAACTAAATTTACTTTAGAAAGTCAAAACTAAATTTCCGTGAATAAAAGTTATAAACCTTTTCAAACTTCAAAACAAGGAATTTTACATATTTTATGTAATTATAACATTTAGCTAACATTTTGTTTACGTTAGGCATTGATGATGTGTAATTGTTTTGATCTTAATGACTTCCTGGGAGTCACCTGGTGCCATACACATTTGTAAAATTAAAGGAATCCTTTATTTCTGTAGGCTTCCCGGCACTGACTTCTGAGAGTGACTCATTGGGATTACAGCATGGCGCATTGTTGAAATACTCACCAGAAAGGAGTGGCCTCAGTGGCAAGTGTGATGCATATTTTCTTTTCACATTTAGTTAGAACTCTTGACTTTGAAAAAAGTAGAAGCAATTCACATTTTGCTAGTTTTTAAACTGTATATGTGGAGCCCTGAAGATCTGGCACTGTATTTCTAATGCTGTCCAGTAACATGTTAGCTCTCCTTATGAATTGGTGGCTTCAGCCATTATCTGGTTGGCCCATTTTTTTTTTTTTTTTTGAGAAGGACTCTCACTCTGTCATTTAGGCTAGAGTGAAGAGTGCAATGGCGTGATCTTGGCTCACTTTAACTTCTGCCTCCCACAGTCAAGCAATTCTTCTGCCTCAGCCTCAGGGACAGCTGGGATTACAGGCACGTACCACCATGCCTGGATAATTTTTATATTTTTAGTGGAGACAGGGTTTCACCATGTTGGTCAGGCTGATCTCAAACTCCTGACCTCAGGTGATCTGCCCACCTCCCAAAGTGCTGGGATTACAGGTGTGAGCCACTGCACCTGGCTGAGGATGGCCCACTTCTTCACTGAGCTCTGGTGTGATTCTGTTCTTCTCTCCAGCCTTCTAGAGACTGAGAAGAACTGTCACATACATGAAGGTAATGCCATTGAACCACTATGAACAGATCAATTGTTTTGGATAGATTTTTAGCATTGAGGTCTGGCACTGTTCCTTCTGGCTCCTACTGCAGCTTCTCTTGATTGACTTTCTCGCTCAGTCCCCAACTGATAATATTGCTGCAGCTGGGTGATGTGAAGAGACAGTGGAGTAGAGATACAGGCTATCTGTAATTGAAACAAAACCACACTGGACCTGTAGCTGACAGGAAACACAACTAACACAAGAACTTTTTTTGTAAGCTGGTGAGATTTGTGGTGGACACTGTTATGCAGTGTGACCTAGCAAATATTGGCTAATGTGCATACGATCTCTCTAGAGTGGAATCCAGCTCACATAATAAAAATGGTGATTCGGGAAATACTGAGTGGCGTAGAATACAGATGAGGTTGTTGCCTTATTTCATGCAAAGCCTGAAATAAAAGTAGGCAGTCATGACAGGGTTGTGAAGCTTGTATAAATGGAGCAACTAATCGCAGAATTTCATTTCATCCTCACCCTCACCTATCATTTATTTGTGGAGGGCTTGCTGTGTGCAAGGCACTATGCTATGTTGCAGATGGTAGCTGTCCAAAGAGTCATAGGATATAGTCCATGACCTCTAAACTTTAGAATGCAGTTGGTGTAAATATGATGATACTCATATGAGGGTAGCACGTGAACTACAGAGAAGATACATGGCATAGGAAATTTGAGAAAGCAATTTTTATTTTAGATTAGCTGTTAGGTTAATACTGGAACTTTACTTAATTCCAAGGCAGAGGCTGTATTTTATTTTGATTTGTAACCCCCAAACAGTGGAATCTTGGTACTGACTTGAGTGAGCCAATGATGCATGTCTCTTCCTGACTCTGGGTTCAGGATATCAGATGATAGTTGGAAATTAGTCATGGTAGGAGTATTTATATCACGAAACAACAAATGGTAAAAGTTAGGGCTTTTAAAAAATGTTTGAGCGGCGGTGTACCAATATGTTTCTGCCTCCAATGAATATGAAATACAAAGAGTTGAACTGAATTGAATTTTTCCCATAGTCAACTGGAGATTTTGAAAAGAAGAATAATTTCAAAGATGGTTTTTGGGATATATTAATCTGGCATTGATACTTAGGAAATGCAAGAGTAGAGAAAGTCTATGTAGCCAGAAAACAGTTATGAGCCTCTTAAAATAATCTAGGAACAAGGAACTAAGGAAGTAAACTTGGATCGTGGTGGTACAAATAGAAAGGATGAGATGAATTAAAGAATCTTTTAATGAAGACTTTAATTTTGGCAAAGAAGTTCAAGGTAAATGGCCCTTAGTAGATACTCTTTAAATACTTGTTGAATTAAATTGAATTCAAGAAGAACTTACTTCCAGAATTTAATTCTCTGTTATTTTTCTTTTCTCCTGTACTCCTGTAGACTTTTGTTCATTCTCTTTGACTTTTATTTGCTTATACATATTTCTGTTTTTTATATATAGCTCTCTTTTTCTATTATTCTTTCTTTCTCTACTTCAGTCCTAGAATAATTAGTAACCAATCGCCTTACTAGCTGCCTAGAAACCTGAATAATAAAATCTCTTGGTAGATGAGTTTTATATGTGAAGTGGTAGATCTATTTCTGCAAAGGAACAGGTAATTTTTATTCTCCAACACAGGTATTGCAACATTGAGGCTATTTCTGGATTGAAAAATACTTCATGCTTTCTACATGCTTATTTGGCTTACTTCAGTAACATTTTATAGATGAAAACAACAAAATGAATGATATATGAGTCACCTTTAAAACTTCAATGTGCCTGTCAAATTAATTGTACCACCTAAACACCAAATGCTTTCCTTTAATTGAAAGTCTTATAGGTACCTCCCTCAGCATATGCTATAGTTAATGATCAATTGTTACCATAAATGATTTAACATTTGTATACACTTGAGATGACATGGTCATAATTCATGGAAATGCCAATCCTGTGAAGTAAGCACAAACAGTGATAAATGTGCTGCCAATTTCTATATAATTACCCCAGATCTATCATGCTACTTTGGTATGTTGAAATGCATTAGAGCATAACAAGTGTGCACCATCCCAGTGATCAATATCCTATTTCAAATAAAAATGTTACCGTATAATTATCGTGTTATTCTTTCTGATGATTTTCTACTGAGCTATGCTGCATTTCAATTTAAGAAGTAAAATCACAGAGTGCCCACCTGAATTAGAATGACTACACTGTTAGTTCATGATTAGCACATGGCTGACATGTGCAATTTTAATTTAGACATTAATTATGGTTTGTGACTTCACTTACATTTAGATAATTTAATTTGTCCACTTGAAATAGTCTCTTCTGGCTGGCTATATTTCACCCTAAATAAATCTTATACTCTGAGACTTTGCTCTGAAAATGTGTTCTTTTAGTTTGTTTCTTTGATCTTTTCTTCCCTCCTTGCTGTTTGGCTGTGCTTTCTCTTTCTTGGTTCTGTTTATTTTATTTTGCTGAGGTGATGGTGTTTTCTATGTCAAAGATTGAGTTCATTTAGGAAGGACTAGTAATTGTACAATATAAAACGATCTCTCTGTCAGGTAAAACGACTATTTTTGAACAGTCAGATGCCTTAAAACATTTCTGATAGTTTCTAGAAACAAAAGAGGGCAAAAACCTTTTGGTTTTGCAGGCTTTCCAGCTTAATCACATCTTTTTAAAGGTGCAAAAAGGTACACCCTTGGCCATGCTCGGTGTCCCTGAAGACCCACGACAGGGAGTAACCAGTAATGTGTCTGAAGCCTGCTTCTGGTTTGCCCAGAGCTCCGGGTCTGATGTCACCCAGTCGTTGGGTGCCCTGGCAGAGTCCTCAGCAATCACATCTCAGGGCTGCTCATTTTCTCATTGCTGCATATGTAGTCTCGTATTTTAGAAGTTATATAACCTTATTTTCTTTTTGGAAAAAAATGAGCATCCACTGGGAGACAGTAATCTAGTAAAGATTTTTAAAAACAGGTTAATTCATGGTCTGAACATCTAAGGAGAAAAATTGTGACCGTTGGAGGAAACGTAATGCAGGAGGGAGTGAGAAACCTAGGAAACTTCTAGGATGGTTTCTAAACCTGTGGGCTGTCTTTGGATAACAGTGTGTATGCTCTTCCGAGGTCTATGGAGAAGCAGCTGTACCAGTGGTGGCAGCAGGATTTCTCTGCTGTTCTGTGACCTCTCTTAGACTAATATATTCTTTTGAGCCTACATCCAATTGATAAGAAACTAGACAAGAAAACACGCAGGCATGCCCCTAGGATAACTCTGGAGGTGCTTTTCAGGACATCCCAGCTTCCAGCCTCCCTTTCCATGTCTCTGTGTCTTTGTCTTGTGATTTCTCTGGACCTTTTCAAAACTTCATGGTTAACCAAATTGATTATCTGAGTTTTCCATTCCCCTTTCCATCACTTTCAAATATGAATTTTAACTCAGGTCTCTGTGACCTCCTCAACCAATGTCACCCCTCATTCCATCTTTTTTAGTTCCAAACCTACTGACTGTCTTTCTGTACTGTGTGTTGACCATGTTCCATCCTGCCACAGAGCTGTTGTCCAAGACTAAGCAATTCTTTCCAGTTTTTCCCTTGTTAATTTCTAATCTTCTTTCAGATAAATCTTGGTTCAAGTGTCAATGCTCACGAGAATCCCTTCCTAATCTCCTTGGCCACGGGAAATTCTCTTACCATGTCATCAGGTTTATATGTTTAATTATTTGGTTAAGAGCTTCCCTCTCCACTAGATTGTAAGCACCACAAGGGCAGGAATCATGGCTGCTTTATTCATAGTATCTGTTAA